ACCCCCCCCCCCCACCAACAAACACACGCCCACACTCCACCAGGAAGAATAGAAGAATACTTATAGAAACGTTTGAAATCTTAATACATTTGCACTGCTATATGAATAATATAATCACACTAGCTACTACTAAAATCATGAACAGCCAATTTCTTTCAAAAAGAAGATTTTACTCTAGGAGCAAATGGGACAAAACTACAAAAGGCCAAAAACCCACAAGCCTATTGTAAGAAATTTAGTCTAATGATAAATGGGTAATTTACTGAACATCTAAATGTAGTTATAGAAGTTTTACCCAAGACCAAGAGCATGGTGAAGGCGCTGATGAAGAGTGCGCACGTGGCCACTAATACCATGTTTGTTGTCAGCCCCTTGCTTTGAGGATGATGACCTCATGCCACCACAAAATTAAGAGAAAAATTTGACCAAGAAGTATGCTCTCTCCTGTGCAGTGGTAACAGAGATGAAACTATATCATGACAAAAGAAAAATCAAATACTATGATTTTCATGTATGGCACGAAAATGCATAAATGAAGGTGGTAAAAGCATTAATCCTGTACAAGTGGAAGCCCTTTAAACCCACCCATCTGCTGGCAAAAACCACATACACACAGCTAAAAAATCAACCGACAAACTTAGGTGCTACAATAATATTGTCAAGGAACCAACTCAACCAAAAGCTCAAGCTTGTTGTTGTGGCCCTGGAAATGTTTCTTATATTCTGACACGCCCCCTTACATTCAAGCGTAGTCTTTTTCTTTGAACATTGCACATGAAACCTTAATTTTTTTAAACTGGGTGGTGTTGAGTTTCAAACCTATGACCTTTTAGTCAACAAGGCTCCGATACCATGTCAAGGAACCAACTCACTCAAAAGCTCAAGCTTGTGGTTGTGGCCCAGGAAATATTTCTTATATTCTAACAAATATCCAACCCTCTGGCACACAGTGATCAATAAAATAAATATGCTACAAACATTGGCAGAGCAAGAGGTCCTCTAAATTCAAATTTGGATGGACCCAAAATGCAATTGATTCATATTAATGTTTATAGTAAAAAAGTGTATATTATGTTGCTCGTATACATTAAACTAGTAACTCTGAAAAGCTGAGAGAAAATTGAAAGCTCAAGCAGAACTCAATTTATCAGTTTCTTCTAAATCATCCGTGTTCATAAAAAGGTCCAAGAACGTGTACGTCAAGATAGTGCGGAGTATATGTCATCATATTCATATTTAGGAAGAAAAAAAAAAGAATTAGGGTTTTTGAAAATTACGATAACGGTGGCTGGAACCTGAAAACTATGTGTCTGGCAATATAGAAGTTATTGGTGCTGGAGCTAGCTGTTGCCTGTTGCTTGTTCTTTTTAAATTTCTCTCTTTCTAAACTGCCATTGCATTAACGCAGCCAACGGCGTCTTCTCCTTTGCTCTTCGATACAAGGCGTGGAGGTGAAAAGAAAAGATGTATTGTACTTTACAGAAATAATCCTAAAATGGTTATTTTTAATAAGGTATTTTCTCAATTTAAGTCTCAATAAATTCTAATAACATATGTCATCTTTTATAATTGAGATTTATTTCTTAAATAGTGGTCTGAATATTTTTAATTTTTTATTTAAAGAAAGATATATGGCTAAAAAATTTGTCTAAGACTACATTTTCTTCAACTTATTTTTTCAGCTAATTGCTTATTTTTATTAAAATCAAATCAAGTCTAATTTTAAATATAAGTTAGTATATAAGTACAATCAAATCAGATCCAATCACACAAAATCTTTAAATGATCATATCAGATCAGGTGAGCGTAACGCAACTTAAATGTAGGACATTTTTTCTCTTCACCTAATCTGATTGGTTTGTTCTATTTTGAATAAATTCTGATCTAATCTGGTCCGATCTAATCTGATGTAGTCATATTTAAAACTATTTCTGATCTGATCTGCTCTGATTGCAATAAAAATAAGTAATAAGTAAAAAATAAATTGAGGAGAACATGGTCATAGTTGTTTGTATAATTATGAAAATTGGATAGTACATACTCCCTCTGTCCCTAGTTTTTGTCCACTTTTTACTTTTGGAATTGTTCATCTAAACACTTTGACTCATCAAATTTTCTCAATGTGTAAGCCTAAATATAGTCATATGTGATCTTGTTTGATTTGTCTTAATATATAGATTATTAATATATAATTTCTATATTTTTTTAATATACAAATTACAAGATAAAATGGATTAAAGAAGCACATTGAATGGTGTGTAAAAATGAAAATGGACAAAAACTGGGAGACGAAGGGAGTATGTTTCAACTACATTTAATGCTTTGATGATTCAAGAAAATAGAGACGAAGTAAAGAGCCGCAAATAAACCTTCCAGCAAGTTTATAAACCTTCCACAAGCTTATTCAACTTGTATAGCAACCCCCCATTGTCAAACTATCCATACAAAAAAAATAAACAATGTCTTGTCGCAATGCAGCATAGTGACAAGTTGTTTGCATAGTTCAAAAAAGAGGCATGGTATACAACTTAGTGTTCACCAAGCATGACCTAACAATTATTGCTTGATTAAGCCTAGAAAAAAACAATATTAAGTTCAAGCTTAACCCAGAAGCCCAAAACACAGCACCAATCAGCAGAAAGGTTCTTATTGGTCCTCCAATTCACAACCAGGCTTATACTCATATCTCTTAAAAACCATCTCAGTTTGACTTGAAAAGTAGATTGTGCATCAATAGATCAATGCAAGAGAGAAATTTAATGCAACATTTTTTGGGTCGGACAGAAAAGAGAAGTGAAACTATTATTGTGTGTGTGTGGGGGGGGGAAGTACTAAAATTACACACAAAATTACGTTGTACTAGTCTAAACCCTCGTTTACAAAAATAGAAGCTTCTTAGTTTTCCCAGGAAACAAAACAACATAGTATCCTTTTCAAGTTCGATACCATTTTATATTTTCGAATTTTAACAGTTGAATGCATGCCATCTCAGAGGACACACTGATCAACGCCTTCTACTGCCATCACAAGCGTCGTCAGCTTTTGAACTTCTCTTTCCATGATGATGATGATCTTGCTCGCTTGCTCTTCGTTTACGCGCTAAATAATCACCATGTCTCTCTTCATAGTCTTTGGTATTCCCCTTGTCCCCCCTATACCTACCACCACCATTGGCATACCTCCCATCATCATATTGTGCCTCTTCTTTCCTACCCCTATTTTCGGTCTCTTGTTTATCCCGCCTAATGTCATCATCTCTTCTGTTGTACTCTTTCTCTCTTCTCCTATCCCTCCTACCATTCTCTGCCTCCTCTCTCCTCTCCTTGTGGCTACGGTCTCCTTTCATTCTGTGGTCAGAGTCATTTATTTCCCTATGATCGCTATCCCTTACACCACGTGATGATGGGCTTGCCCTATGTCGTCCTGTATGAGATCTCTCCTCTTCATCACACAACGGGCTTCCCATGCGGTTTCTTCTCTCCCTTTCGCCGCGAGATGATGATGACTTGGCCGTACTTCCTCCATGCCTGTCTTCTTTGATATCCTTACTCGTATGCCCAAGTCCAATGTGATCGTGTCGGATTCTCTTTCCTTCATCTCGGACCAAGTCATCATCTGAACCCCTGTGTTTAGCTCTCTGTTTCTGATCACCTTCTTCAGCTTCACAATCCCTATGCCTTTTATCTCCCCTTTGACTACCAGTAGCATCTTCATCAAATACCATTTCAAACCTTGAAAAGAGTTATATACGTAGGTTTACTTGTTAGAAACAGAGTGTGGGGGTGACAAGATGAAATTTCTGGAAAACACAATGTCTAACCTTGAGTTATCACCTCCACCATGCTGCCGGTTAGCCTCTTTAAGCATGTATTTTTGATTGTTTTGTTTTGCTGAACAGTCTTTTGCTATGTGATCTACAGAGCCACACTTAAAGCAAACACTTCCTGCTTTGAAAAACAAAAGCAAAGCAAAACAGTTAGTAACATCGAAAGCAATATAAGCCCAAAAGGCAACACAACAAACCCAGTATGATCTTAATTCCACTAGGATATGAGGGTCAAAACATACACAACCTTGCCCCAATAAAAACAAAGGGGCTGTTTCTGCTAAACCTAATATCCAAAAGGGCAAATTTCTGAAATGCAATTCATTTAGATAAGTCTTTCCTTCTGTATAAAAGTTATGTATTAGTTACCTGACTTACATCTACAATAGAAATGCAACTTTAACTCCTTGATTGTTTTGTATCAACTTATGAAGTATCTCGTATTGAAATTTCTACTATATGAACTAAACTTCAGTTCCTTTGGTTCTCTATTTTTTACTGCATAATTTGAATACAACAAAAAACAAAAACAACAAAAAATCCCAGTTGGAATAATCCCAACTCTGTAGCGGTCTAGGGGATCAGGACTCATGATGTACGCAGCCTAACCTCTGAAAAAATAGTGAGGCTATTCCTCTTACACACCCTTGATGCATCACTACATATCTTAAGAAATTCCCACTTCAAAACTTGGACTAAAGATGACTAAAGGAAAATATTTAAGAGTATGATCTAGAAAAGTAAAAACAAAGCCGTTTTTCACTTAAACCTCCGCCAAACATAGCATAATATAAACTCCCTCTGTCCCATAATTATGTTCATAGTTTGACCTGGCTGCCTTTTTATAATGTGAAAATTCAAAATTATATGCTTGAAATTTGTATCGAGACGAGAAAAACTATTTTAGCCCCTATGTCTTTTCCAAAAAGGAAAGTGGAAAAAAATTTGGGACAACCCAAATAGGAAAACAGGAACAACAGTTTGGTACAGAGGGAGTAAGTTATAATTAAATTAGTGTGAGCTTGAGAACCTTGAATCCTATATACTAGAACTTAAATCAAACTGCTTTGTATCAAGCTTTAAAATTAAATGCACGACCTTTACTCATCTGATCCTTGCGTCTATAGCTGGACCACAATTTCGAAACACTTTGACTGAAATCAACATGAATCCTTCTGTCGTCAATAAGAACATTATCCATCTATCATTGCATAGAAAATTGTTTGTTAGTGTTATAAAAATCATAGTTCTTCCACCATGTTATGTTGGTTATAATTTACATCGGAGGTCAAGAGAAGATAGATCTGACTATCTCACTGGCTGCATCCTAAATGTCTTACAAATGCATAACTGTAAAATTTTGGCACAATACAATTATGAAATACCAATATTATGAATCATACTCAGCTTTCCAAAAATTTATCTTATGCAACCTTGTCTGTGAATCTTATTGATAACTTTTTTAGCGAACCACAAGAAAAAATGGCTTCATTTGATCAAATTTGGGACAAATTGCTTGGAACATGACTCTTTTTTTGAGGAGGACAGAGTGAGGCATCTAGAAAAAGGAATTTGTTAAGAGCAGTTTAGGCAAGGTCAATTAGGTTAGCTATTTTCCACAACTCCATAGGATTACTACTGGAAAATCAAAAGAGAAAAGGCCATATCATGCAACATTGTTGCTTCAGTTCCAAAGAGCACTGAATTCTATGGTTGGGTATCAAAGACGCCAAAATAATTCTACGTCATCCCATGAAAAGAATCCTATTAAAAACTCAAATTTGTCCCCAGTCCGCCTCTTTGAACAAAAGCACCCAATTTTTATCATATTTAATATTCCTTATGAAAACAAAGTGTAGCAAGAAGTCAAATGTGTTAAATTTAATTAAGTCACAAATAAATTTAAAAATATAGTTACAATTGCAATAGTTGTACACTTGTACCTTACAAAAATCATAAAGTTGGACATTCCTCAAATATGACTCTTTTATGGAATATACTGAGTATAATTTGGAGTTGCATGAAGTTCCATAAATGTCTGTATGGCATAGGGTATTAAACGATGAACCTTAAGCTAAAATGGAAATTCACTATCACGGTAAAAATGTGCAAATAAAGTTAATACAATACACCAAGATAGGAACGGGTGTAACAATTTAAATTAAAAAAAAAATAGTATGTCACGCATCTTGATCGATAAGGGTCATTCAATATGACAATTTAGAAAAAATTCATACAAGTTTGTATATTACCTTAAAATATGCTTGTTCACAGGCTTCTTTATCCTCAAACTCTAGCAAAAGTGCAAAATGAAAAGCAATAAAGTGAATATGTACACTAATTAGTAGTTACAACTTGCAAGGAACACTTAGGCCATGTTCTCCTCAACTTATTTTTTTACTTATTACTTATTCATATTGGAATCAGATCAGATATCAGAAATAGCTTTAAATATAACTACATTCAGATCAGACTAGATCAAATCAGAACTTATTCCAATCAGATCAGAACCAATCAGATCAAGTGAAGAGAGCATGGCCTTAAGCCTAAAAATCCTAGCAAAAGAAGGTTTGTAAGTTACCACAATTACTTACACAGAGAAACTCACCAATAAAAGCGTAGCCCAAACTATCTCCAGTCTTGTAGTCTCGTATTATTTCAGCACTACAGACGTTGATGAATGATCAGAAACGCGTTTGAATTGAAATACCCATAACAATGATGGGGGTTGGTCGAGTAAGGGGGCAGGTCTGAGTAGCATTAAAGAGAACTTACGATGTCACAGTTCCAAAACGCGAGAAAAGGGTATACAGGTCTTCATCCTGCAAGTGTATATGATGTATCACATTTAGTTGTGCAAATGAATTAGGAGAACTCACATATACAAAACAAGAATGAAATAACAACTCACTTCAGTAACTGGGTTTAATTTACAAACAAAGAGCACATTATCAGGAGGCCTTATCTCAGCATCAGGAATATCCCCAATCTGTATTGCCAGAAAATGAGAATCATGACTGCTTTATGAAGAGTTAGACCCCATTTTACATTGTTACTGATGACATGGCCTGTTCTTACACTTTCAAGCACAACGGCACGGGAATGTGCTTCCTTGGCACGCAGAACCTCCTCAAGCTCTTGAGTTCCAATTTGCTCATCCAGTGGAACCCAATCATCCTCCAGGCGCACATCATCATCAACCTGAGTAGATTATAACATACAGGTCAGTTCAGCTGTGTAGAAATGTATTTTAAATTGGGCATGCATAGAAGGTTACGAGATTGGTTATCTTGTGTCTTGATGTAAAAATCATTACAAAATGAATAGGAACATATTATGGAAATACGGTAACTTCTTGTCTCCTTGACCACCAAGATATAACACTAACAACCTGCCTAGCGGATGGGTGGGTCATGGGTGTACTACTGTACGCAAACCTTACCACTACCTATAAAATGCTGAGAGGCTGTTTCGGAAAGACCCCTAGCTCAAATACAAACAGCCTAGAGCATAAACAGCTGGGAGCTATTCATGATTTGAAAGAGGAAAAAAAAGAGATATATAATTGGCACCTCATCCTTTGGTTTCCCTTCCGGAGAAGCCTCTGGAATCAACTCATCAAGTTGGGGTGGATCATCAAAAGGGTCATCCAGTATATAAGTATGTTTTATTCTGAAAAGGGAGATTCATGAGCAAAAAGAAATAACAAGTCTTGAAGGGGTTGGTAAACATATGACTACATAATTTGAGTGCAGTAACTGCAGACCGGATGTTTTTGAATGGACGGCCCTTCTCATCTACAAAAGCTTCATTTATCCTGTCTAATGTGTCAACCCCTTCTGCCAACTCTCCAAAAACCTGAGAGATTGAAAATTTATTATCATTGATATCATGCATCTACCAACTAACAGAAACATAGGTCATTCGTGCACACACTCCACAGTGCTAGTTTGGTTAAAGGATAGGATAGGCCAAAATTGTGAAGCTAGTAAATAGGCCACTACATGCAGCACATGCAGTGTCTCAGTGTGGGTGTGATCAAATAAAATAAAGGGACAAAATGCTCTAAATGAAGCAATATGAGAACTCACAGTGTGCTTCCCATCAAGATAGTCCAGATCATCGCGCAGTGTGATATAGAACTGGAAAACAATAAAATAGAACATAAGTAGACGAAATACGAAACAATTATATCTAAGAACATTTTGGGTTCGGAAGTTTCAGAGGAATAATAGTCGTCGGGATTTTGACCTTCTTAGTACGAATTCTGTTAAAGTACTCAAACCTATTAGGATTTATCTGAGGCACATAAAGAAGGCATCAGTTGCTGGAGTTCAACCAAATCTCAAATATTTAACATTGATTGTGGTCTATTTTAATTATTTATTATTGATGATTATCTCTTTGTGTTCAGTTAGCAGAATAATAGGGTTACTCAGTTTGTTCTGGTAAGATACAGAGAGCTGTTCAACTAGTTACAATAAGAAAAGAATATTTGAATATGTATGCATTCTCTCATTGTATTCCAATATTCTCGCCAATTCCTAAACCAGCATATCCTTGAATCAATTTATTTTTAGAATATTGGAGATAATCGCTGGCTTCTATGTCCCCTCAATGATGTTCTAATTGTGAGTGGTGTAGTAGAGTATTAGTTTCATGCTCAGATATTTAACCCTCAAATTGTTGACCTGCTCTTAACAATTTGGTATCAAATCCTTGTTCGGAATGGTGAATACACTTCCTGATTCCCATGATCCTGCGTCTACCTCTGCCATTGTATTTGCACCTTTGGCAATCATTGCTTCCCAGCTAGAAACGTTGGAGATCTTGGCCAGGCTTGAAGTTAGATAGTGCAAAGCGTGAAAAGGGCAAGCGACGTGTTCATGGGACTGATAGCCACAAAAACTCAGAATCACATATATTGGGTCACTGACAACCCTACAGAAGAAATGAGTCCATAATTGTGTACATTCTCACCTATGCATTGGCGATGATAAAGCAGAGGCACCACCCATGCGCTCTTAGGGTGACCCAGTGAATTTGTTCTCGCGGATGAGTGCACAACAAACGATGCTTTATAGGGAGGAATTGGAGAAGATACTGCAAGAGCATTACGGTCCACCTGAATATCAAAATGCAGGTGAATACCTCTGTAGAGTAGCATTGAGAAACTAATGCCAGTGTAAGAGTACCAGCAAGAATTCACAGTACGAGCTATCCAACTGAACAATAACCAGAACATTGACTTCTTGTTTTCTTTTTAGACGGAACCAAGGAAGAACTTAAGTCTGGCGTAAATCCACAAGCCTAAAAAGTGTATGAAGTTGCTAGGTTAGCCCTTGAATTTGAAAAGTTGTTCTAAAAAAATACCAAGATCGGTACCCCTCAAATCCACAACTGAGTAACTGACCCAACTTCTCCATAAGTACTTGACATCTTCAACAATCAAACTAGGAGCATTGACTAACCCCAAGTCATCCATAGCATATGGCGGTCAGTAGTATCATTGAATTACTATGTTTTCAGTATACTGGAGATAACTCTTGGCATATATTTCCCTTCTCAATGAGATTTCTATTGTGAGTGGTGCAGCCGTGCTGGGGAATACTAGTTTCTTGTCCAGTTATTTAATCCTCCAATTGTTGACCTGTTATCAAATTCTTTGGACCATCTGTCCAATTGATAGCAAACCTTTTTTTTGATTGGTACTAACCTCTCCTGCATTTGAATCTAGTTTATGCTAAACTTTCAATTGCTACCAATCAATCATTCATTCATGAGAAGGTATCAACTTGTACCAAACTCAGCTGTTGCCATTTGCTGACATTGAAATCTAGTTTATACTTTTATTCTTTTTATTTTGCCATTTGGTGACATTGAATAAACCTGTCAACTAACATGGATGGGTGAAATAGGATAATATATTCCCATCAAAAATTGGTATCAATGAAAAACAAGCAAGGGATTGATATTTATATGATACAAGCTTGAGAGAGGGTTGGTATCGCTCAGACATGTGGTTTAAAAATTGGTACCAAACTGGTCAAAACCCTCTCATAGTCATTACTAGCTTGAAAGGTTGCACTTAGAACGATTTAAATAAAAAGGCAAAGACTACAGTTTATGCAGCAGTACCTGGGAAGCATTAAGATTCTCCCCAGCACTAGCCATGGCAACCATTCCCTTCTTGGAATGCTTTAAGTCCAAATGAATTTCATCACCAAAGAATCGAGCTTGTTCACCATACAAAAATCTGGAACCACAGTGTAAGAATGAATATCAAGTATGGAAATAGAAACACACACAGGAAAATTATATGTTAAAAACATAATAATAATAATAATAATAATAATAATAATAATAATCTATATCTACAAATTAAAGAAAAAGACACTAAAGCAAAAATAGAAGGTGATGCTTGAATGTGGTATGAAGCTTATGAGCTGTAATAATAAGTTTCCAACCTACTTGTACACTGAATCTCCGCCCGAACCTGTTCCAGTAGGATCACCCGTCTGTGCGCTGAAATCCTTTTGGACCGTGTGAAACAGACAACCATTATAATACTTGATCCTAAAATTGTAGGGATGTGATTAAACACTGATGACTGAACAAAGCATACTAGTTAACTACAGAGTATCTTAGCTATATTTTCCCAAAGAGGGGCATTTTCATAAAGCAAAGTGTGTACAACATTACTTGTGCTGACAAAAATCAGACTAATTTCTTTTGGCAAGGAGTAAATCCAGCAAATTAACAAAAAATCAGGAAATCCAAAAACAAAATTCACATTGTTGGTCAAAATTCATTGGGGAAAAAACACTAATTCAAACAAGGAAGCTTAAGAACACATTGGGCGAAAAACATCTGAGTGCAATTGTTTACATATATGCACAAGTTTTATAGAACTTTTGATGTACTTTTTAGGACAAATCCGTAAGCGTGCAGCAAGAAATGTCATATAAGCTGCGTTAAAATGCTAGAATAGACCACAGAAAATATATAGCATAGTGAGGAGGCGTACTTGCACAGCTTCAGAAAGTTCTTGCATGTCAGAGGACAGCGATCCGTGATCAAATCGATTACTAAATCTCCCAAGCTCGTCACTATCATCACAGACATTATGCAGCGCGAGAGAAGAGGATGATGATGGGCGGGGGCGTGTAGGGGGGCTAGGAATGCCGAAACAATTAATGAGCCCTAGAATGGTATTGGACCTGTGTTGGAGAAGAAGACGAGAATAACTGGTTCAAGCTTAGTGAACTGTAATGATGTAAAGAGATCCCGAAAGCCGTAGGGGTGAGCATGGTACGGTATGGGACGGGATTATGCCCGTACCGATACCGTACCATAACTTTTGGTTCGGTATGGAATTTCATATTTTACCGTTACCGATCCCAAAATATTGATACAGTATGGTTCGGGAAAAAATAATGTTGGTACTGGATTTTTTTAAACAAGCAAGGTATAATACACAATTGGTAATAAAAACAGTAGTAGAAACATTTGTCTTAAATAGAAAAACTGTAAATGTAAATAGCAGTAGCAGTAGTACAACAGATTAAAAAAGCATTACAAAAGCACAAGTAGCATTACAAAAGCAGTAGCTTCAAAAAAGGCAAAAATAAGCACTGTAGAGAGAGAACTAGCCAAAGGAAATGTTCTGTTACATTATGAGGCACCACAAAAACATTGTGGTGACAAGTTTCTTCTCTTCTAGAGTATTTGATAGCATAAATTATGGTTCTCTTTAAACAACCATTTTAAACAAAGACTATTTTTTAAAAAAACAACAAGGATTTGTAAAGGAAAGCCTACTTTTCCCAAAAACAAACTACCAATTACAGTAGCAAAAAAATGGGTGGAAATCATAAATATGGCATAGCCATAATTCTGCCCATTCATGACAAATAAGCAGTAGCCAATACAAAATTATAAAGAAAAAATGGAGCAGAGGCTATTTAAAATGGAGCCAGTACAAAATTATAAAGAAAAAATGTAGCCAGTACAAACTTTAAATTTCCAGAAAAAAAAAACAGATCTTCATATTTCTAAATTAAAAGAATTTCAGATTTTCACAACAAATTCATAACAATTAGCAAAAAATTTAAATAAAAATTTCAATTTTTCACATGACAAATTCATATAACAAATAGCCAAATTCACAACAAAAATTCATAACAAATTCATACCATAAATTTATAAAGATTAAAGATTTTTCATATTTACACATAACAAAAAATAAAATTCTTAAAGAAATTCTGAAATTAGTATTTTTTTACCTCCGTACCTGGACTCTGGCACCTGGAGGCTGGAGAATTTCCGGCGAGGTGGCGTCTGGCGGGCAGCGGCGTCTCTCTCTCGGTGACTGTCGGGCAGAAGCAGTTGAGCGTGCAGGCGGGCGACGGCGTCTCTCTCTCTCTCCGCAACTTCCTTCTGGCCTCTCTCTCGGCGACTTCCGTTCGTGCTACTGCTTGGGTTTGAGAGTTTGGCACTTTTCCACAGTTCCGCTTTCAATCTGGAACGGAAATACTCCGTAGCAAATAGGAGGGCTACTGGGCTAGGGAGTTTTGGGCTTTGGCTGGACTGGACTTCAATATATGTATACATATAATATTTAAAAAAAAAATAGGCCATTCTCATTCCCAAATTTAGGAGTGGGCGCGATCCGTGATACTACCGGAACCTATCACGCACCACTATTATTTAAACCGTTTGGTATCGATACGGGATAAACTCCAAAACCATTCGGTACCATTCCGTTTTGAAACGAAATGATACAATACCATATCCATACTTAAATCGTGCCAAAAAAATGAACGTACATTACTTAAAGAATAATGAACTTAATGTATAAATTTGTATTAAAAAAGCACAAGAATGTTAAATAGGAGTATTGATTTCGGGACAGAGCCCATTCCCATTTCCAAATACCAGCCCAAAAATTCGGTTCGGTACAGTTTGAGATTTTTTGGGATTTTTCGATTCGGTAAAATTCAGTACAGATAATCTGGAAATTTTCGATAACGGTATGGTACATGCTCACCCCTACTGAAAGGGAAAAATTTTGGGATGAAATACTATTTGAATGAAATAATATTTAAAAATTAGTTCTGATTTTATCTGATTACCATGAAAATAAATAAGAGTAAGTACTCTGTAAAAAAATAGATATGATATGGCCTAAGTCTACCTCCTAGAGCCAAAAAAAACTACTCAGTATTTTCTAAATTAACCCCTTCCCTCTTTAGTTTTGGTAGTTTTGGGTGAAAACCTAATATTCAAAACCAAACATCAATCAGGCCATCTTCTGGATGTCCAGACCTGCTGTTCTCCCAAGTCCGGAATCCGAAATCAGACGCAGATAGCACACTCCCATGTTTGCAATCATTTGCTCCGCCCCTCCGTTCGCATTAGATCGCAGCGTCGCAGGTTCGGCTCCGGTTTCGCAGTCGCAGGTCCAGCGGTCCAGAAGACAGCACCGCGACAGCACTCCCTCAGGCCTTAGGTATTTCTTTGAATTTCAGTTTATGCTATTTTTTTTATTTTTGATTTAGCGAGGTTTCGAAGCTACAAATTCCAAACTTCAATCAAAGGAGAGAATGGTTTTGATTTTTGAAGAACCAAAGAATCAGCAGATGAAGTCCTAGATAATGCTCCCATTGAGCGTTAAATGTAGTACCTGCAGGTGTGATACAATGTTCAAGGCACTCTAATAAGGAAAAGGAAAGGGAAAATGATGGAAGAAGAGGAAGCTCTTATTAAATCCTTAATTCATTATTTGATCTTAGTCAAACCTTGATTCATTATTCAAATGTGAGCTAGAGAAGTTCATAAAAAGAATTTGTGATGATGATTGTGAAGATGAAGAAGATGAGGATTTAGATATAGTTGCAAGTACAAGTGGAGAATCATCGATCAAATTTTTCAGAGGGGAAAGCTGTTTGAACTTGAAAGTGGCCCTATAGGTGTCCTTGCCAAACCCAACTCCTCCACCGAAATTTACATTGCCTAAAGTAATGAAAGAAGGGGATCTAAGTAATGTGAAAGTCGTATTCAAATCACCATAAGTCAAAGTTGCTATCGTGAAGAAGCAATCTGTGGCTAGTAACATGTAGTTTGGAAATTGTACTCATATTTCCATAATATAACCTATTTTTTTATTTAAAGTCTAAATTGCACACTCCATTTTGCTTTTGATGCATATAGCTGAATATGATGTTTGTCTTCTGGTGTTTTTGCTACAGAATCTTCCAAGCAAGTAAAAGATAAATTCAACCAGCAAGCTCGTTCAAAGTTTTAGAAGGTACACGTTTTACTAGACAGATATGGTTGTGCACCATACATAACTGAGACTAATCTCTCAATTTTTCCTCTCTTAATCAATTTTATGGTTCTTTGATTTAACTAGTTTTGAAGAGTTTGCAGGATAATGCTTATAGTGAAAAGTTTGGTGGTGTGTCATGAGAAATGTTAAATTTGAACTCCATCCATCTGTTTCTTTGGAACTCTTTTGGGGTTTTATCTTTTGGTATTTGGTTNGGACTCATAGGGTTTTTAACTTCAAAGTTTAAACTTTAACCTGTCAGTCTTGTTGAAAATATGTGCACACATTAGATCAACTTTAATGGATGGAAGGATGGGGTGGAGAAATGATGTGTAACGGTGAATTGATTAAAGTGGGTAGTGGAAAATAAGAAAAAGAGAAAAGTGGTGGAATTTGCTCTCATCTTTGTTTGCATTTCAACTCTGGTTATGCGGGCAGCTCTTATTTTTTTAAAGTATTTCATGGTCTTAAGGAAGGAGGTTTAAAATCATTACGGAGACAATTTTTGTACTGGTTTAAAGTCAGTTGCGATTGACTTTTTAATTTTGTGTTGGATTCATTCTGTTTTAGTGATGTGAAGAGGGTTGGGAATTCTGAAGCATGGTTTTTCTTTTAGCAATACAAAGGGCACTATGGGAAAGTCAATGAAATTTATAATTTGCCTAGATAATCCCGTCGAGTCAAATCTTGAACTAGAAAGGACAGAGGGAGTATTATAACTCACAAATCTTTTATCTCTCTCACTGGACCTTTTGTTTTTCTTATACACTTTAGTTACAATAGTTAGAAGGCATAATAGTAAAATTCCTGTCCCTTTTAACAATCCACTTCGTGTGTCACATATTCCGAGAACTAGGATTTCATCAGTTTGGCCTATCAAAAACCGGTTTTGTGAGCGAATTCAGGTGGACCAGGCACTGAAGTCCTCAAAATGTTTGGGATTATTTTGAGGCACCAAAATTAAAATAGACCATTGTTTGGATCTGAAGTTAAAATAGGCCATCTTTGCCATCAAAATTGTCTACATGGTAACATGTGGCTCCAAACAAGGTCTTTAGGTGGTCATTGCCCTTGTGATTGTGATGATTGTTTAGTGCTACTTTGACAAATGGAATATGTACAGGTGTTTAGTTGAAATGTTTATTCTACATTATGTTGCAGATTTTTTCACCTTTTAGTTGGCTGGATATAAAGAAAAAAACTGTCAGGACCTTTCTCTTGTTTATCACCTAAAACCAGGGCGTTTTCGAGTTCCAAAGTACATATCTATTGCTGGATAAATTTCAATTACCAAGCAGTGAAGCCATAGCTTTTTTCACTTTGAATATGATGAACATCAACAACAAAGATGAACCAAACACTGCTCCAAAACATGATCAGTGGTACAACTTAAAGCTTGGCTCTTCATTCAAAGAACAGCACCCATCCTCCAAGTTCTGTACATTACGATGTAAGTTTCTCTGTCACCCCTGTGCATGAATATATATGTGTGTGCTTGACTACTTGTGCCCTTACCTTTTTCATAATTTATATAGTCTACCATTCGAATAATGAGTCTGTTTTTTCCCTTGCTTCATATTACTTCCACCCTCCCATTATTTTGGGGACATAGGAGAGTGCCACTCAAATTTAGGATAAAGTGCAATTGTGTAGTTAATATTGAATATATGAATCATTAAGGTGTACATTTCTATTTTAGATTCTTAAAATTTTCATAAATTCATAACTTTTCAGATGAGTTTAAACCAGCTTCAATCAACAAAAGTCTGCCGGGTAAATTGCACAAAACCAAGGACAATAGGGTTACAGTTGAATTTCAGAACAGTCAGCCCGGTAAGCCTAAGGTTTGCTTTGAGGGGAGCAGTGAGGACTACAAAGAAAATGATGCTGTTTTATTCTTTGATGGTGAATCATTCCGGTTGGAGCGACTGCACCGGGCAGTCAAGCGATTGAAACATGTTCGGCTCCGTGGGGAATCTGCAACTGGATCTGCTCCTGCTTCTGTGAGTGTAGCTGCTGAGACAAGTTCTCCGCCAGTAAAAGTACCTGCATTCCAGTCTCATAGTAATACTGTCCGTGCACCACCAGTAAGTTCTGCTTTGTAGAGATGTTTCTACGTTAATCATGAATCATTTTGGTGATATAATTACTATGCAATGCCAATATGTGTTGTGAGAATAGAAAATTGAGATGGTCACTTATCTTAGAGCAATGCATCAAAATGTAAGCCTCGAGATGCATGCAATTTTTTCTGTATGGAAAAGACAAACTGAGGTTTGAAGGTGTCATTGACCTGCAATAGATAGACTATTTATTCTGAGTCCTTGTACCATTAGCTTTAGCATTTTGGGAAAGTTGTTTAGTTTAGCTTTAGTGTTTTTAAAATTAATGTGCACCTTTAGAAAACTATCTGAAACTCTAATTCTAATCCCAAAAATTGCTCCCGAATAGACCCTCTATCACCTAGTTTTCATTGGAAATGACCTTAACCTCAATACGAGTTGGTTTCTGGATCATTTGTGGCTCTTGTATACCATAGCATGAAGGGAACCCAATCAGTTGCTCTTTAGTGCATCAAATGATTTTTTTCTTGAAATATTTACATATAGAATTATGGCTGATATAAAATGAAATCTTTCTTTAAAATTTGAAGCATATGATTATCTCCTTATCCTATTATACCCTGATAAGTTGGGAATGCATTGTTATGCTTATATTTCAATGCATCCCATTTTTTATGGGCATCCGACACTTTGCCTATTTACTTGATGAATGAAGTATGAATAATTCTGCTCTCTTTCGCTTATGCTTATTATTTTATGCTTCTCAAGTGTTTAATAATTATCACTTCTACTTAGATATATATAAATAATATTATGAGGAATTTGGATTTAATTGAGGTTTTTACTTATATTTCACCACTCATTTATGGTCATGGTTTCAGGATCAAATTTGCGTCAACATAAGGATATAATATTTCCTATGTCATTGAATTATGTTAGTTAAATGGCCTCATGGCACTTCCACTTCTACTTAAACTCTTGTCTTTTTGTTCACACAGTTTGAGGTTGAGCTAATTGAAGTTGGTGACATCCAAGGCTCAGGTATGAATTGTTATATACCAATATAACCCCTATAAATTACTAGCCTTAGGACTGGAAAATTCTATTCATTTAGCGCATTATTAATAAATCTATAAATTAATAATATATTCACCTATCAAAATATATGACTTATAACTTCTA